TAACCGAGAGCTTAACTTCAAACGGCCTTAGATAGGTTTTAGGTAGTAATATAATAAGCAAAATTGCCTAAGATCATCAAATTCTTAATTTGATTGGTCAGGTATCACGTGATTATGCTCCGCTTTAGACGACCCCATATATAGAGCTAAGTACGTACGTTCGTACATACGTCAGCTACTAGTAATATCATGCACGAAGTAATAAATCGGATTTATAGATTGAATTTGATTTCTAAATAATGATAATATTCATTATTTTTATTTTTTTTCATATGTTCATTTTACCCGGGGGCCGGGGGGACCATTGGGGGGGTGATGTTAACCAAAAAATTAACTTCAAACGGCCTTAAAAATGTCAACACATTCGGATTTTCACTTTAAGTTTCCCGATGGAATCCGTGGGGCAGCTGCCCTATCGGTCGTATTTTCACATTCTCAAACGTTATATAAACAAGTATTACCTTTTACAACATTTACAATGATAGGATTTGATCCGTACATTGTTTTTTTGTACTTTCTGCCTTTTTACTTACCTTTCGTGCTTTAATGGATTGGAACAAGATTATGAAAACTGGATCTAACAAAATTTTGTGGAAAAAGGAATGTTATATGATAGAATATTGGATGACGATGGTAAATTAATTGAATATATTTATTTTTAATGTCAATTGATGAATTTTTGATGAAGATTTATTTGCTTTTCTTTCCAATTTTTTTTTTTAAATTTTCCTATTAAAAGAACTAAACACTGTTACAATAATAAAAAAGACAGCTCTTTATTTAAATTTCTAGACCATACTGCAATAAAGTTCTGGTTAAAATACTTTTTCGTCGAATTATGAGAGTATATCCAACATATGCGATTTTTTATTAAGTATCGTGTTCATTGATCCTATAGGAAAAGCTTATTATAACGCTATAAAGACATCAAATTTGTTACAACATTTGATTCTTCAATCAGCTGAATTTATTTTTTGGAGCATACCGCCAGAAATGATGATATATAAAATTTTTTTACCTCCCTAAATGCAATACCTCTTTAAGTGCAAATTTGGCTAAATTTTAACATATGGCCCCGTTGCATTGCATTTATAGAGGTCTGACTGTATATACAATAATTTAATTAACAAAATAATTTCTATTATAGGACTATGTATTCATACCAATTATTGTTATTGGTTTTTGTTGGAATAACTCATATGGGAATTTTGTTATCAAATAAATTACGTGGTAGACCGAATATTGGAGCATGGGCAGGTCGAATGCTTGGCAATATAATAATCTTTGTTGTACGAACATTAATAGCATTATTTCATGACCAGGGTTGTTAATTTACCGTAATTTTAAAATCTTTTTCTGGTAAATTTACCGGGCTGTTTGGTAAATTGCGAGTAAATTTACCCTTAAGAATGTCTGATCTTCCCCAGTATCACCATAAAAATTTTATTGTCACGTGATCGTACAAAAAATCTTTAAGTTCGTTTAGGTTAGGGTAGGGTGTCCAGAATTATGCGATGCGATTGGGTAAATTATGCGATTTCACTAAGGTCGATTATGCGATGGATGCGAATTATGCATTTTCTTAATTAGATTTTGTCAATTATGCTAACTTTTCGGAATATTTCGAACTTTTTTGCGGAAGTTTTCAAAATTCACACTTACTCAAAACACATTCTTCCGCCAATCAAATCTCACTCACGTGTTTTATGCCTTTTTTTTCTTAATTATGCGAAGCATATGCGATGCGAAAAAGTGGCCAGGGTTTGAGTGTTATTAGTAGCAAAATCGTTCAAGGAAAATCCACATAGGTGATTTCTTATGCAAATTTTTGAGAAATAAGCGTTTCTTGCAAAACGATTGAATTTTCCTGATTGTGTTACGTTACACCAAATCACAATTAATTATTATCTAATCTGCTGTCGGTAATCACATGATAGTAGAATTTTTCTGGTCCAGGATTATGCAATGCGATATTATGCGCCACTTTTCGCATATGCTTCGCATAATTAAGAAAAAAGGCATAAAACTAGTGATTTGAACCGAGAAAATTTTCCTTAATCGGTTAACCAAACTGAAAAATTTGCTGTCAACCGATTCAACCGAATAAAATTACTTCACGTTTACTTTCGGGAATTCTCGGACCTTTGCTCAAATTTTTGTCTCGTCTACTATGTTTATTCATTTCATTTCGGAACTTTTCGGGACCTTTGCTCTTTTATGATGTCATTTACATTATGTCAACCGATTCTCAATCAGTTGTACGGGTCAACCGATTAAGCATTTACTCAACCGGTTACCAGAAATTTATTCAGTTCAGGTCAGTTACCCGATTATAGCCCAACCGGTTCAAATCACTACATAAAACACGTGAGTGAGATTTAATTGGCGGAAGAATGTATTTTGATTAAGTGTGAATTCCGAAAACTTCCGCAAAAAAGTTCGAAATATTCCAAAAAGTTAGCATAATTGACAAAATCTAATTAAGAAAATGCATAATTCGCATCCATCGCATAATCGACCTTAGTGAAATCGCATAATTTACCCAATCGCATCTCATAATTCTGGACACCCTACTCTGGTCTGTATAAAATCACGTGATTTAGTAGCTAAAATATTTTTTTAGCCAATCAAATTACATAGAAAGACCCAACCTTAGGTATATAAATGTAAATTTACCGCACATTTGGTAAATTACCATAATTTACCAATGGTAATTTACCATCTGACAACCCATCTTATACAGTATCGCCATAAAAATTTCGCCCCCACATGATAAGTACCAAAACTCTTTTAAGTTCATTTATGTTAGGTTAGGGTTAGGGTGAGTGCCCAGGTAGGGTTTGGGTTTAGGTTATTATATAGTAAAATCGCTTAAGAAAAACTTTTTGTTAGTTCAAAAAGGTGGTTTCTTATGCAAACTTTAGAGAAATAAGCTTTTTTTGACAAAAGAAACGTTTCGAGACGTTTGTTTTGAATTTTTTCTGATCGTGTTACATTACACTAAATTATGATCATTTATTGGTCAATAATCACGTGGGAGCGAAATTGTTATGGTAAATTTGACAGCCCTGGCCATAACCAACCATACCCAAGCTATGTCTTTTAAATAATCGTATAACCCATTGTATCTTGATTCCCTGAAAGCTAGTTACCTGCCAGCTTATTTTACTGACCTCATATCCCTGACAGAATGTTTCACCTACAGCATTTTTTGTTGACAGAATCTTTCCTCGACATACCATGTTTTCGACCTCTCCTTTCCTTGATAGGACATATTTTCGAAAAGACATTTTACTGACATGACGTATTTCAGAAAGAACATTTTTCCGACATGACATGTTTCCAACATCATTTTTCCGACAAGATCTTTCCCCAATTAGAATTTTGTTTAAATAGGTAGCGTGATATATTTGTGTTCATCACTTTACATGATTAAGCACTCAGCCTAAATTAGGTTAAGGTTAGGGTTAGATTAGGGTTAGTGTTGATAGTGCTAGTAAACAAATGATGTAGCTGCATAATTTCACGTGATGTGATGATCACTGGGTTTATCGTTCTTGTCGGAAAAAGTGCATTCAATAAAACTTAGTGTCGAAAAAAAGTCAAATTAGAAATATGTCATATCAGATAAATGTCTTGTTGAAAATATGAGATTTCTAGGAAAGAGGATGTCGAAAACATGGTATGTCAAGAAAAGATTCTGTCAACAAAAAGTGCTGTAGGTGAAACATTCTGTCAGGGATATGGGGTTGGTAAAATGAGCTGGCGGGTAACTAACTTTCGGAGAATCATACCAGAATCGTATAACCATATAAGTAAGGGTTAAAAATTTTTAGTCGATTAGTCAGTCGACTAAACTGTTAGTCATCGACTGACTAAAAATCGACTAATCGAATAATTGATTAATCGACTAATCGATTAATCGACTAATCAACTAATCAACTAATCAACTAATCGATTAATCGACTAATTGACTAATCGATTAGTCGACTAGTCGGCTAATCAACTAATCGGATTAGTCAATTAATCAATTGAAATTGATGATTAATAGGCAAGTAACCAAACTAATCGACTAATTAATTAGTCAACTAATCGACTAATCGACTAATCAACTAGTCGATTGACTGACTATAAAAAAATTTAGTCGATTAATCAACTAATAATCAACTAGTGACTAATGACTATTATTCCTATCCTTAGGGTAGTGCCGTTTATTACGTAATTTATTTTATTATCCCTCCCCCCCCTGTGATCGAATTAGCAGCCAATAATAATTTTTATATATAATATATAGACGCGATAGACTGCTAACCCCTCCCCTCTCTTGAAATACGTAATAAACGGCACTTCCCTTACTTATAAGCAATTAACCTTTTTAAAAAATAATGGTTTTATTCTTAAGCAGGTCCACACAGATAGGGTTCGGGCACAGGGGCATAGGGCATGCCCATGAGTATACCATATGGCCAAAAGGCATTCCATATAGCCCATACTTAACCCCAACCTAACCCTAACCTTAACTCACAAAAAATCTATTATAATCTAAAATTCTAGTCTGATTGGCCAATTCAATATCATGATCAGGTTATATGTTGAGCTTTAAATTATATATTTGATATAGAATAAGATTTTGAACTCAAAATTACAGATATAGTGATACTTTATAAAGCAAAGTTTGAACGAAAAAAAGAATTCTATTGATACAATCCTGTGATTTACTTTATGTGATTGGCTAGCGACGGGTTGTAATCACGTGAACTTAAATGGGCATGCCCAATTTTTTACACATTCCCGAACCCTAATCACAGAGTTTACATGCTGTTTCGCGTTTATTTAGTTCTGTTGTTTATCACTCAGCTGACAAGATTTATGTATCATAGTTTGTACTGCTCCATCTTGATTAGCAAAGATTATTACTTGGGTTCTGCGATTAATTACAGAGTGTTTTCAACCCTTTAAACAAAAGGATAAAAAATAAAGAAGGATTTTTAAGACCCTGGGTCAGATAGTGCAGTGGTTAGCGCTCTAGAGTCATATTTGCAAGGTCGCCGGTTCGAGTCTGGTGGATGACAAAAACCGCGCTAGGACCACAAATTGCAAGGATCTACAATGAGGAACTGCACTGCCTTCTACTTACGGATACAGTACTATAGCTACAAGAGCTGTATGACATAGCCACTTTGGTTATACGGTACCCAAAAAAGGAAAAATCTGACAAGAAACGTCGTAAACATAAGGATTATCTATTATAAATTAGGAAATCAGAAAAATTGCGTGCTAGGAACACCTGACGACGCTATACCACCAAAAATGGAAGTAGCTCCCGGGGTAGAGGAAAAATGGCCTAACCTACAAAGCGATCTGGCGGAAATTGACTTCCTTAAAGCTACCTAAGATCTGAGAGGTACGGGGCACCGACGTAGTAGGCCAGCTGGAATCCGATGGAATAAACGGATATTAGAGGAGGATATAGCTTAGTTAGGAAAATCCCTATATGTAATACAATGTAAGACCTCTGAAAATTTGAATAAAGAGCGCCACCCACGCCCCTAGTAATAAAACTAGGGTTGAACAAAAAAAAAAAAAGAAGGATTTTCAAGGTGACAAATGGTGACAAAAAAAAATTGCAGTGATATAATCATTGACCACTTCCGACCAGTATTTAAAATAGAAATTTTAATTTACCTGTTTTATAAAAAAATACCAGTTCAAAAAAAAAACCTGCATTAGTAGAAAATGATCATCAGATCATTGGGGGCACATAGATGCACGCACCAGTAGGATGGGGCCTCAACTAATTAAATCTAACATTATTTAGAGTAATAATATGAAGACATTAATATCAGATTTTTTATAGGCCGTATATTTAAATATTAAATTAAATTTACATTTTTTAGCACAAATATCTAATGAAAGTGTATAATTTTTTTTTAAACTTTGAAGCTCTTAACTAGCTCTACATGGTAATAGTGCTATTTTTTAAATATATTTTTTTAAAAAATTTCGTAATAATTAATTGATTATTTAATATTTAGTATTTGTACAATAATTAATAAAATTTTAATTATTTTAACAAGCTATCAAAAAAAATAGGTTTATTACCATGTAGAGTTAGTTGAGAGTTTCAAGCTAAAAAAAATAGTATATATTTTTGTTAGACATTTGTGCCAATAAATGTAAATTTAGTTCGATAAGTGTTTTTTTTTAAATTTTAATTATACGTATAAATCGGCTCTATGCAAATAAATATAATTACTAATTAATTTAATGATTAATGATATATATGTAATCGGCAATTTAACTATTTAAATACTAGTCGGCAATATATTTAAATATATAGCCTGTAAAAAATCCAAATTAATGATCTTCATATATTACCCCTGACTAATGTTTGATTTAATTAGTTGAGGCCTCACCCTAACACACCGGTTACTTCAAAAAATTCCGGATCATGCACCGTTTGTTGCACCGGCCCAATTTTAAAATACCGGTATATGCAATATAAAAAATGGTAGATCCAGATTTTTATCATGCTATTTTATACACTGCTTCCGACCTGATTATACAATTATATATTAGGCCACACAAAGTTAATTTTTCGTTTTGCATTATGAGTTTCAAAATTTCCGGTCGGTCGGTCAGATTTTTTTTTTTTTTTAATCTATTATAAGTTAATAGCCTTATGTTGCATCTAAGGCCACATAAAGTTAATTTCACACTTTGCATAACATGGAGTCAGAAAATTGGGGGCTTAACAGTCAGATTTTTTATCGACTCTGTCGGACAATTTCGGAAAGCTAATGTCTCCATTGGGTGATACCGGAATAATTTATGGAAAAAATGAAATAACAAAAATAGAATAATTGGAACAATTGGGACGTAAAAAAAAAATGGAAATTTGAAAAAATGGGTTGGCAGGTAATGCAAAACAAAAATTTAACTTTGCGTGGCCTTATGGTAAAAAGATTATTAGTCCATATAAATATGTAAATTGTGTTATCAAGTCGAACGTGGTCGACGATTATGTCATCACTAGTGTTCCTATGAACCTGAACTGAACTGAACTTAGGTCAAGTTCAGGTTCAGGTTCAGGTTCAGTATTGAACCTGAACCTGAACATTTTTTAAAACATGTTCAGGTTCAGGTTCAGTATTGAACTTTTAGAGCTGGTTCAGGTTCAGTTCAGGTTCAGTTCATAAGTTCATGAACATGTTCAGGTTCAGTCTGGNACCGTTTGTTGCACCGGCCCAATTTTAAAATACCGGTATATGCAATATAAAAAATGGTAGATCCAGATTTTTATCATGCTATTTTATACACTGCTTCCGACCTGATTATACAATTATATATTAGGCCACACAAAGTTAATTTTTCGTTTTGCATTATGAGTTTCAAAATTTCCGGTCGGTCGGTCAGATTTTTTTTTTTTTTTAATCTATTATAAGTTAATAGCCTTATGTTGCATCTAAGGCCACATAAAGTTAATTTCACACTTTGCATAACATGGAGTCAGAAAATTGGGGGCTTAACAGTCAGATTTTTTATCGACTCTGTCGGACAATTTCGGAAAGCTAATGTCTCCATTGGGTGATACCGGAATAATTTATGGAAAAAATGAAATAACAAAAATAGAATAATTGGAACAATTGGGACGTAAAAAAAAAATGGAAATTTGAAAAAATGGGTTGGCAGGTAATGCAAAACAAAAATTTAACTTTGCGTGGCCTTATGGTAAAAAGATTATTAGTCCATATAAATATGTAAATTGTGTTATCAAGTCGAACGTGGTCGACGATTATGTCATCACTAGTGTTCCTATGAACCTGAACTGAACTGAACTTAGGTCAAGTTCAGGTTCAGGTTCAGGTTCAGTATTGAACCTGAACCTGAACATTTTTTAAAACATGTTCAGGTTCAGGTTCAGTATTGAACTTTTAGAGCTGGTTCAGGTTCAGTTCAGGTTCAGTTCATAAGTTCATGAACATTTTTAGGTTCATTCTGGTGTTCATATGAACTAGTGATTCTAGGTTTGGGTCCAGGTTTGGTCTGGTCCAGACCAAACTCAAACTCTAAATTTTATTATTAAAACTTTATATTAAACTCTAACTCAATCATAAGTTTGGTCAGGCTAGTCCAAATTTTGCAAATTAGTTTGAGTTTAAATATAAATATGTGTATTTTTTGATACTGAACAGGTTTACTTAGAGTGAGAAGTTAGTTAAATTTAGAGAATCATAGCATTTTGTATTATTTTATTAATAAAATTATACAAAATGCTATGATTCTCTAAATTTTACTAATTGATCTTAATTTCTTGCACCAAGTAAACTTGATAAGCACCAAAAAATACATCAAATCGGCATATTTTATTTTACTTTTCTTAAAATTTGAAGAAAAGATGCTTAATTTTGGAAATTTTCATCAAAAATTCAAAATTAAGCATCTTTTACGCAAAATTTTAAGGAAAAGAAAATAAATTATGCCGATTTGATGTATTTTTTGGTGCTTAACAAGTTTACTTAGATCAAGAAGTTATGATCAATTAATAAAATTTAGAGAATCATAGAAATTTGTATAATTTTAGTAATAAAATTATACAAAATGCTATGATTCTCTAAATTTTACTAATTGATCACAACTTCTTGATCTAAGTAAACTTGTTTAGCACCAAAAATACATCATATGGGTATATTTATTTTATTTTTCTTAAAATTTGCGTCAAAGATGCTTAATTTGAATTTTTGATGAAAATTTCCGAAATTAAGTATCTTTTCTTCAAATTTTTAAAAAAGTAAAATAAACTATGCCGATTTGATGTATTTTTGGTGCTTAACAAGTTTACTTAGTGCAATAAATTAAGATCAGTTAGTAAAATTTAGAGAATCATAGCATTTTGTATAATTTTATTAATAAAATTATACAAATTTCTATGATTCTCTAAATTTTACTAATTGATTCTAACTTTGTGATTTAGGTAAACATGTGCATATATTATGAACCTGAACATGTTCATGAACCTTGAACTGAACCTGAACTGAACTTTTTTAAGTTCAGGTTCAGGTTCATGTTAAATAATTTCAAGTTCAGGTTCAGTTCAGTATTGAACTTTTAGAGCAGGTTCAGGTTCAGGTTCATTGAACCTGAACCTGAACCTCTATTGAACTGAACTGAACTTTGGAACTCTAGTCATCACGACTTTCTTCTGCCACCATTTTGTCACCTGATTTCACTTGCTGCTTTTGGTAGAATATACATATATTTTGTACTGTATGGAAGATAATTTATTACTGTACTATAAACATTTAAAAAGGGTATGATACAGTACGAATATACATATATATATTAAAAATAATTTAGAACTATATTATATAAATTTTGAAATGATGCATACGATACAGTACATTGCTTATAGTAATTGATTAGAGCTTTGTCGTAAATACCGAATTCACTGGGATGTAGAAGCTTCGTATTGTATTTTGTTATTGAATGTACTGTCTGTACATAGATATTGGTGTATTATATTGTATATTCGTACAGTACATGTATAAAATGTAAATGAGTACTGTACTTTATTAAATAAAAAATTATAAACAACAATATAGTATGATACATTAAACTTTAATATCACTAATGATAGCAATTTACAATTACCATGAAGAGAAACATTGTCATCGAGGATTCAATCTATGTAATTTTAAATGATTTATTACATAGATAAATATAATGATAACAAAAGTTTCACTTTAAAAGCATAATAAATTTATACACGTTTTACGTTCGTATTCGCAATGTAAATTAAAAACAATAATGTTATTATTATATATCGATATAATAATTCGCAAAATCATATTAATTAATAAAGTTTCTCTTACTTATACTTTCTTTTTTCAACACATTATTTTTATTCATTTGAATTACAAGTTTTCATGCTCAATCCTTAAAAGCCTTTCTTGTTCTTTAATATTAATGGATTCACTTGCAATTTAGAGGATTTTAGATAATAGAAGTTAAATTAAGTATTGCCTTTGCCTTTAAATTCATTAGTTAGTATACTGTATATTCAATTACAAAC